CACACACAAACAACAACAAGCTGTACTCATTTATCAAAACACTGACGCCAATCCAAGTTTTGTATTTACCTGAGATATAGGGTTCAGTCTTTAATCACAATACAGAAACTGGCAGACATCGGTTGCATCTAAAACTAAAGCTGAGCTCCCACATAACTCATTCATCTTTTGGGGGTCGCTAATACATTATTAACAACAATTACTTTAATCATTAAAAAAGCATTTTTCAATGTAACTAGTATTATTTCTCTCTGGATTGACTGCCTCCTTTCTATTGGATTTATGACTCATGCATCCTCCCACGAGTGGAGCACTACACAGGATAGGGCATTAGTGCATAAAATAATGAGACCTACTTTCATATGACACCAAAAAGGGCGGAAATGTGCTCTACCTTTTGAGTGATGGGTCTCAGTTGGCATATTTCAGTTTATTGGAACTTTGTTGCCATATCGCAGGGTAATTTCAGGTTGTTGCAATCTACTTGATACAATTATTGCAATAGTTGTCTAGGCTATAATTTATTTATCCTTGCCCCTGATGTTGCTCATTTTGGACCCTGTCCAAATCCAAAATGTGAGTTTGTGAATAAATAATATTAACACATTCATTTGTAAATCTTACAGTTAAGAAGCTGAACACTCCTGAATATCGCCATTACCTCAAACTGTGGAACCAGGAGACAAAACCTAAGCGAGAAAACACAAAAGATCTCCCCAAGCTGAATCAGGTAAGACTTATCGGTCTTTATATACAATATGTGTATGGGAAAACTCAGTTGTTACAGTAGCGAGTATGGCTGACCTTGTGTTTTTCTTCCTCCAGAGCCAGTTTATTGAGCTTTGCAAAACCCTCTACAGCATGTTCAGTGAGGATGTTGCAGAACAGGAGCTGTATCATGCCACAGCGACAGTCACCAGTCTGCTGCTGGAAATGGGAGAGGTGGGGAAGCTCTTCTCCTCCTCTGGCAGAAAGGACCACAACATGGAGGATAAACCAGAGTCGAGCATGTGTAGGAGAGATGCCGCAGATCCCAAAACCACCCAGGAGGCCGTGTCTGACCGTGTGTTCCAGGACCAGAGTGACGCCTTTGTCCCTGCAGGTCTGGAGAACAAGCCAAGCCCCTGTGAAGAGGGGAAAGGGGACGACGAAAGGAGCGAGCAGCTGCCACCTATGCAAGACATCAAGCTGGAGGACTCGTCTCCCAAAGACACAGGCACGTCGTCCGCCATGCTTATCTCAGATGATGAAACCAAAGATGACACCTCAATGTCATCTTACTCGGTGCTCAGCGCAGGCTCCCACGAGCTGGATGAAAAGCTGCAGTGTGAGGACATTGCAGACGACACAGTGCTGGTGCGCAGCGACAGCGGCTCCAACGGTGAAAGAGGTAACCGGCCCCATGGCGGCGGACCCCACGACAGAGGGCTGCCTCACAGCACCAGCATTGATAAAGACTGGGCCATCACGTTTGAGCAGTTCCTGGCCTCTGTGCTCACCGAGCAGGCCCTGGTGCATTATTTTGAGAAGCCAGTAGACGTGGCAGCTCGTATAACTAACGCCAAGAATGTGAGTAAAGTTGGGCGCTCCCTCTCGACAAGTGACTATGAGATCTCGCTATCTGGCTGAGGCCTTTTTAAGGGAGATTTCACACAGAGACTTTTACTGTTTTGAAAGGGAAACATGACTATCAGTCATTGGTATAAGAGAGTTTTAGAGGACAATGAAGGTAAATGTAAATTGTATGTGTATGATAGTATGAATGTGACCAAAAACTGCTGTTAGCAATGTATTTTACCAGATGTGAAAGACTTTTATTATAACAATCACTAGGTTCTGTCCAGCTAAGAAGGAACAGGACATTAATATTAAGGTTTGCTCAGATGAAATCAGTGTGAACATGTAGTAGCTGTACTTTATAAGACATTATGCATAGGTGTTAATATCGTAATCTCTAGTACTTCTTAGGCTATGTAGATGTAAATGTCCACAGACACAGTACAGTTCTAAACTGGGATATTGATCGTCTACGTACGGTCACCTAACATTATATCTGCTCAAACTGTTGCTCCCTTACTTTATGATTCCATTTGCTGTTGATCACTAAATATATTTTTAGTTTGTCGTCAAATTACAATACGGGAAAATACAAAACAAAGCTGTAAGAATTCAATGATAAAGTGAATTTTCATTTATTATTGTGTAAACTCTCTTCAGCTAAACAATGTATCACTATGGCAGAAACACACATATCTATAGCTTCCTGGACATTCACTCCCCAAAACAATGTTGCCAATAATTACTCCAGTGTGTCTTCAGTTTTATTGATGATTGCAAACAACTTGTACAAAAACAATCACAACCACAAAGGATTAAGTAGTTTAAAGGAAGGTATGTGTGCTAAGAAGTGATGATTACACTAAAAAAAAAAGCTGTTGAATGAAGATCCTGCACTTTCTTTGTTTACAACATAATGTGATCCACTAATATGTATTTGCTTGTCATTTGCGTAGCTATTGTCTGTACTCCAAACTAAACTGTTTGCCTTTTTAAAAAAAACGTTTTAACCTTTTTGCTCTGAACATTTTTACTTTGCTGTTTTTATGTGAATATTTTTTTATTTTAAACGTCCAGGTGTTATTACTCTGGATTATGATGCATTGTGTATCACTCCATCTAATTAAAATTACAGTATGATTGACTCAATGCTGCACAGTATAATGCCTCAAGCCTCTTCCATTGACTTCCTCAGACCGAGGAGGACACTGAGTGTTACTGCCATCTGGTGGAAGATCATTTATGCTACCAATCATTCATTTCCTCAAGATTTTTAGCAAAGTCAAATATGATTCCACGGACGCAAACATGTTATTATCATTCGTTCTTTTTGAACTAGTTGAAATATATTTATTGAAATATACAAAACTTGACTATTTATGCTTGAAACATTGCACTTTCTCAAAATATGAGGGGACATTTCATTGAGAGCAGATGACAGAGTCCTTTTGAGAGAAAGAACGCAGCAACAAGCACCTTGAAGACCTCTATTAAACCTCAGTTGGTTACAGGGCTTCTCTTACACTTCCTCTGAACACACTGGGGTTTTGGCTCAGGTGAACCAATCACAGTAAGCCTAATGTGCCCTCTCCGACACATGATAAAGCTATAAATTATGAAATTTAAATTTTGATTAAAAAATCTGAAATTATGTTTGTATGAGCTGGATTGATGAAATATTGCTTATATCTGTTCTGGTATCCACAGGTTGGTCTCTTGCTTTCCAGAAATGATTAGGTTTCATATCTAACTAAATTAATAGGAAAATATTATTTTTCTGCCATGAGAGCCTTTTATGTGCTTTAGATCCTGTTTCTTTAATGTTATTTATTATGTTTTTTAAATTAGCAATATACACTTAATTTCCAGTTTATTAGGTACATATAACTTAAACTAATGCAGTCTATTGCTTAAGAGGCATTTATAATATTTAGTTTATCCTCATTGATATACAGTAAATAGCTTGGGCAACATATTAGAAACACATCACAGTACAACACAATACAACTCAACAAGCAACCAACTGCAGCCTCCAAAATGACCATGGAGTTGAATCAACACCTCTCCAAGCAGTCTCAACAAACCCTGATTATAACCTTAAATGTAGGAGTTATTGCAGGACTGTGGTATAAGACTAGTTTTAGTTTTACCAATTAAACGGGCAACTGAGCGTTGTGGGAATAAGGTCACACATTCTTCCCTTTTACTTTTTCCCAAAAAAACAGATTTTCCCATAATTCCAATTCTACATAGGTTGAATTTAGGGCAAGGTATTATGAAACAGGCACCGTCACTGCTGCCAAACTGCTGAGAGGTCAAACACGGTGTGATGCAAAGTTCTTATCTGCTAGTGAACTTCAGTCACCACTTCATGTCACTACTCTCCCCCAAAGTTTTTTTTTTTTAAAGCCGGTGTCCTCTTTCATAGAAATGTGAAAAGGATGTGTAATTAAAGAAATCGTATATGAGCAGCAGGATGTAATACGTTTTATAACAAACAAATGAGAATGAGATGAGATACTGTGTGATACAATAAGGCTACTATGAGAGTGAATGGGCAACCTGGTGTGAGGTTTGACTCCTGCCAATCAGCTCCAAACGCTTTCTCTGTTGTTCACACACCTGTTCTGTCATTGGCGAACTGGAGAGCAAAGACAAGCCTCCAATGAACTCATATGAAAGTGTTTTATTATTATATTATTCTAATGCAGTGGTACAAATCTGAGTAAACTGAAGACCACTTTGTAAGTGACATATTTTATGGATATTTCATATTATATTCAACAACAGTACAGAACAACACATAATCACATACTTAATTTTTTTTGACAAATTAATTGTTTCCTCCTCATTGTTCTATTCACTATTTGGTTGTTTTAACTCTGTACTTTTTTTAATGCAGGACAAGGCAGTGTGTGATATAATTTGTGTTGAGGTCTTCACTGTGCTCTTATCCTTAAGATTATTATAAAAATATAAACGTTTTTTAACTTTAAAATATCTATTTAATTTAGTTTTCTTCACAGAAATATTCTATACCTATAAAAACAAGAAGGCCTCGCGACCCCCTATGAAGCTTTGGCGACCTCTAGTGGGGGTCTGGACTCCTAGGTTGGGAACCACTGGTCTAAGAAAGTAAATAATTAGTCAGTGACAGACACAGGACAGAGGAAAAATCTGCCAGTATTTTCAAACTCTGCTTACTGTACTGAACGTGAACAGTGTTGATTATAGATTTGAGATAAATTATATATGTAAGGCAAGAAATAACCAGGATGAAAAGTTACAGTGCTAGAATGGGAAACTAAAAGAGTTGTTTTTCAGAAATGTGTCTGCACTGTGGGGTAAATTGAACATTGACTTTCTGACAGTCGGTGGACTTTGATTAGACCCTTGCCTACAGGAGTACACAGTAACGCCTCTCTGTGGATGTCGTAAAAAAGCCAGCCAGATGATATATAAATACAGAGCAGAAGATGCATCTTTCCTTTCTGTGGAGCGGAATCCCTTTATGGATTATAATCTGGCCAATCAAATCCTTCCTAGTGACAGAAAACTAAGGATCAAAAGGAAGCTTTAAATTCTAGACGCACAATGTGAGTATGTTTTATATCATCAAGCCACACTTTGATTGTTGGCTCATAAAATATATCACTCACTAACCTTTCAGTTTAAAAGATGAATGATAAGTATCAGGGGTTAATGTTTGTATGCTGGTTTCTTACAGCAAAATCCTGCTGATATGATCTGATTGTGCCTGTGTGTGTCTCTGTGTGTTTGTGCATACTTTTAACACCAGTATCAGGAGACATGGTGGGACTTAAACCCTCAGATGTTCCCCCTCCTCTGGGGGTGAAGATGGCGAGTGCTGGGGCGGCAGCCTGTGTAGCTGACATTGTCACATTTCCTCTGGACACAGCCAAAGTCAGACTACAGGTATTTGTTCAGTAATGCTGACAAAGAAAGAAGAAAATCTTTGTTCATTCATCTCCAGTATCATATAACAAGGTTTACTTCACATTTACTGCTGATGTTATATTGTGATGTTCAGATACTAATTTTGAAAGCAATGTGATGTTGGCAGCTATTGACTGAGCAGCTTGACTTTTAACTTTGTCCATTTCATTGTCCATAAATCAATTGCACTCATTTGCATTTCTGTTGCTACACGCTGCACCATTTAGTCAAAATGTTTTCTACTTCCATTCTGAGAAGACAGTTTTAGCCTTGAGTACAATCTGTGACCCCAGATTCAGGGAGAAAAGACTGCAGTGGGAGGCATCCGCTACAAAGGGGTGTTTGGGACGATCAGCACCATGATCCGAACAGAGGGGCCCAAGTCCCTGTACAACGGGCTGATAGCAGGGCTGCAGAGACAACTGTGCTTCGCCTCCATCAGAATTGGCCTCTATGACAATGTCAAAGATTTCTACACTGGTGGCAAAGACAGTAAGTGGTTACTTTGACATATTCCCGAATACATTAAGCTCTAACAAATCAGACACTCTCTGGTGACAGAACGTTATCACAAAATAAAATGTGCCACTGTCACAAACCGAAACCCCTACATGAAAGATATCAACTCAAGAAAATGTTGTAATTGAGCCCAAAATCCCAATTTGTCTCAGAGGTCTTTACAATCCTATCACAAACATATCACACTGCATATCCTTAGATCCTTGATTCAAGAGGGTAAAACTCCTCTAAGTTACAACACTAAGTAAATAAAGAACACAGAAAGTTTCAGTTTCCACAAAGTGTAAAGTATGAAGATCTGAGGGCAGTGACACCGATTGATGTTTTAATTATACATATGTACACATGTATGTATATATGTATACATATGTATATATGTATGTATGCATGTATGTATATATACACCCACACACACATATAAAGTAAAGCAGAAGTACCTACAATTGTAACTGGATTAATTGTATTAATTGAGTTATCGTCCACCATTGGTTGATCCTGTCTGTCCTTCTCCAGACCCCGGTGTACTGGTACGTATTCTGGCTGGCTGCACTACAGGGGCCATGGCAGTGTCCTTTGCACAACCCACAGATGTAGTCAAGGTTCGATTCCAAGCCCAGACGAACCTGGATGGTGTGGCTCGTCGCTACACTGGCACAATGCAGGCCTATAAACACATCTTCCAGAATGAGGGCATTCGAGGACTCTGGAAAGGTGCCGTTTAGGAAGCAGGCTTTAAATTAATGAACTCTTTTGGGTCTGACCTGCCAGGAAAATAAGACCCTAAAATGGTTTTAACTGATCTGAACTTATCATTCTTTTCTTGCTTCTTTAGGCACACTACCCAACATCACAAGAAATGCACTAGTCAACTGCACAGAGCTGGTTACATACGACCTGATCAAGGAGGCCATCCTCAAACACAACCTGCTGTCCGGTGAGTGAGGGAGCTTGTGCATGTGTGCCTGGGCTACAGTAACAGACACACACACACACACACACACACACACAATGCTATTCCAGAGAGACAGCTGATTGGGCAGAAATGCACACACCCTCCCAACCCTTCAACTCCACCGCAGCTGATAACAGCTCACATGCTGGTACAGGACACGGTGTATTTTCCCTTCACAGTGCTGTAAATACAGTAGTTAATATGATTTATCTCAATAATTTATATTCCCCCATTCACAGGGTTACGTAATCTACTGACATGTGTTTCTATACTGCTCAGCACAGAACAAAGGCCCCTCCTGTCCATTAACTCGTTTTAAGTTGTTTTGTTTCCAACTTCCTTCACACAGACAATCTGCCTTGCCACTTTGTGTCTGCGTTTGGCGCCGGCTTCGTTACCACAGTCATCGCTTCCCCGGTAGATGTGGTGAAAACTAGATACATGAACTCACCACCAGGCCAGTACAAGAGTGCCATCAACTGCGCCTGGACCATGTTGACTAAAGAGGGGCCAACGGCTTTCTACAAAGGGTGAGCTCTTCCCCTCTGACCCCAGCACGCACACATTTGTTTAGGAATATTTGGACCTAAGGTCATTTTTTGTTTAAACCTCTTTTCTTTGTTTCTTGTAGATTTGTGCCCTCGTTTCTGAGGTTGGGATCGTGGAACGTGGTGATGTTTGTCTCGTTCGAACAAATCAAGAGAGCGATGATGGTCACAAAGAAGAAGATGGAGGCCACAAATTGAGTTTGACTGGAAAACTTGAACTACCAGCCCTGTGCTGGAGCATCGCTGAAGATACCTAATGAACATCATATCACATTTTAGTTTTATTCTCTTTTGTCTTGTGGTGACAAAGAAGAAAATCCTTTGTTGAAAAAGGAATCTACTTTGTATTTGACTTTGTTGAACTGATGTGTAAAAGAAATGCATCTTTATATTTAGAATTTTTCATAATGAACCCATTCTATAAATTAATGGGAGTGAATGGTGCAAACACTATGTTGTGACGACCTCCTTTGGGAAGTTGGGTTTGCTCTTTAAGACCTGTAAATCTATATCTGCCACATTCTTAGGCAGACCAGTACACCTGTATGTGAGAAATAATAATAAAATGTACAACAGTATGTATGTGAACCTTTAAATATATTTGACTTGTTTTAAAGACCCTGTGCTTGCTTATTAACTCGTGCTATCACTTCCACCACACAAAACATTTCAAAACATCAAAACGTGTATTTATTAACTTTGAGTAAGATCTGTTAATCATTACATACCTTCCTTGAAAGCAAATCACGGCATAAAAATAACGGGTAATAAAAATGCAGTATCACTCTTCAGAAATACAAATTTATGAAAATGGAGGCAAACAACCATTTTGATTTCAACATCACCTATATTACAGAATACAGATGACATCAAGGGGGACACATCAAAACGTGAACTAGTTATTCCTTACATTAGGTTTTAGCTATGGTCAAATGAAATTCCTGAGCAGGACAACTGTGAGAAGACATAAGTCTTGTTTACATAAATACAAACAAGAAAGCTACAAATATGGTAGTTAATCGCCATTTTTAATAACTGTCTTTTGCTCAAAGTGCTTTAACTCTTACAACAGACACACCTGTTACCGCTACAATCCTCCGCAACTGCTCTCATTTGCCCCTTTTTTTACAAAGCTTAATTAAACGCCGGAATGGTCATTTTTGAGGTATAGGGTGTTAGATTTGTGCTCTATTTCAAAAACCCTTAACTATCACTGAGACAAGATCAACAGAGCATGACTAATGAATCACAAAACCAAATATAAGAGGATTTATCTGTTTGAATTTTTGAGGAATGTGAGTGAGCGACCAGCTTCTGCGTTTACGGCTCTCGCCTTCTTCTGCCCGATCGGACAAGGTCAGGGGCCAGGGAAAGGTCAGAGGAGATTTGTGAATAGCGTTAGTTTTTAGAACGGACAGTCAATGTGAGGGATACGTCGGGGTCCTGTAGATGCGTCTTGACTACATCGTGGAATTTTTCTCTGTACTGATTGAACTGCATGATGCTTTCTGGTTCTTCTGCCACCCAGAATTTATCAAATTCAAATGCCAGATAACCTAGAAGATAAAAAAAAAAAAACGCTTTAGTGAATTCTTTATAATAAAAAAAAAAAACAGCCTACAAATAGAAAATAGAATAATCATGTGATTGTTTTTACTCACAGTATAGCTGATGAAAGTGCCAGAGCTCAGGCGTGCCCAGTACTGTATTGTAGAAATGGGGTTTCAAAGCACCGCTCTTCAGGAGGCTGTAGGCCATCTCTGTCAGGTTGATCCCAACTATGGCATATGAATACCTACAATAAGAGGAACACAAAATGATCATGGTGAACACAATGAACTGTAGCAATTCTATTTCTGGCAGGTCCAGCAATGTGCAATAATGCATTGATTTTAGGAAGGTTTAACAATACTGACAGAAAATATTGTGATACTAATACTGTACATGAATGCCTCTTACCCTAGTTTAGGATGGTTTGCATGGGACAACACCTGGCGAGCCTCCTCTGTGTAGTTTTCACTGAAAAAACTGTAACAGAGCAAAAACATTTAAGTGTAATTATCATTTACTGTAAAACTGTTTTATACATTGTTTATATTTACTTTAGATTTGGATCATTTTTTAAAAACCTGAGTCTGACTATGTTATAGGAGTTGTGGAGTACTCTTTAAAAGGTTAATGTTTTATTAATTGCATTTTTTGTAGACTAAATAATTGATCTGTGTTGTAGATACTCTAATGAGTTGACTAAAGGCACAACTGTCATTTGTTTGTCTCTTATTATATATATATATTTACTATATATATTTGTTTTACAAGTGACTGTATGTCACAGTTTCAGCTATGGTAGTAGACCGTGAGGTGGAGGACGAGGCATAAACACACAGATAAATTATTAACAGGGATCAGATTTTAGAGACAGATTCCACAAGGTTTGAAAATGCAGTTCTTCCAAGCAAGTAGGATTCCACTGATTGTGATCAAATCATCCAAACAAAGAAAATCAATCTTTCACTGTCTGTCACAGGCGAATCAATCAGATCAATGAACCGTATAACGAAGTCAAACTCTTACTGAAGCCAGTCGGGAGAAGAGCCAATACATCTTTTCCAGTGAGAAAAGCCTTCAGTGCCGTTCTTTGCTCTACTTTCCATGAAGAAATACTCTCCAGTTCTGATATAACTGATGATAGCAGCCTCTACACTAACCTCTTTAGCGGCTGCCATTGCTGTCACTTCTCCACCATGTCATCACACACACATAACGTTAAACCACATCCGTAATAGTAGTTCCTCATAGGATGCTAACTGGTCTAAACCACTTGTGTTTTGGACAGCAAGCGCAAAGCTTGAAGCCTGGCAAGATGGTTTCTTGCTTGATTTAATGATTTTGTAACTCCAACTGCCACACGAGGTTAGTATCTGTGCTATGTCTCACACTTTCCTCATGTTTTGTTGCTTTTTTTAGTTTTATTGATATTTTAAACCATTTTTGACCCTGCTTTGCAGCAAGGGAGAAGCCAATAAAAAGACAGTACACGATAATGGTCTCAATGCTCAGTACTGACATTATCTGTAGCTCTTTACAACTTGGTTAATAAATGTCTCATTTTTATTCATTGGGGACTCACACAAGGTTGATTAGGCCCAGCATGCCCATTCCTCTGAAGTCAGTCTTGGGGTCATCTCCTTGAAATCCAATGTCTCCCCACTGCTTGGTTATCCTGGACTCCAGTTTGACTGTTGGCATCAGCAGGTCCCACAGCTGAGAGTACAAATACTTCCAGGGTTATAGATTTTAACTGCCAATTTACTGAGTTATACATACAGTGATGCCAAATGTGATTTTGTGCTCAACATTTTGGATTCATACTTTCTATCATTTAATCATGCTATTTTATTGTGCCGTCAAATTTGAGTAGACATTCTAAATGTGGTTTCTCTTTCTATAGCTTCAACTGCTTTTGTTGTTATAATGTATGTTAACAGGACATGTAAGTTCATATTAAGTTCATGAAAAAGCATGTATCTGTCAATCAAATCAACTCTGACTTCACTCAGTGTTACAGAGTGTTATAAGACTGGTCCAGACGTACTTCGAACATCCACTTATTTGTTCTTTGGAAAGGTAATCATGTGGCTTAAACAAGTAAAGCAGCTGATTTACTAATGGACTGATCCCAAAGCAGGAACACACACCTTCAACAGCATGGCCTCATGTTCTTGGTTGTCTGAGTTGAAGACTTGCTTTCTCAAGTCTTCCACAGATGTATACAGGCTGCTGTGTCCTGTGATCTGTAACAGACAGACGTGTAGACTTTCCTTGAACCTAGAAAGGGTAGGGGAGTTAAATAAATGATTAATACACTGATTCAAAAAAAATCACACTTCACTTAATATTATTTGAAGAATTGATGGTGGCAAGCAAAATGACACGATGATGATGATGAGGATGATAAGAAGTAACCTTACTGGGGATCTTTTTGGGGTTTGACATTCTTCACTTTCATAATTTGATCCACACATTGCTCTAATTTATCCTTGTTGGTTTCCAAAGCTCCTCTTAAAACCTACAAAGGAAAAAAGAGCACAGGAGAGGAGGAGGTAGTCGCAGAAAAGTAATGATACAGAGAGCTTCCACAGAGAAAATTGGCACAGTGGCTCCTATATAATGTGTCAACCACAGCAAAAAAAACCTTTCAAAGTCAACCTCAGGCACAATGAAAAGGATGACCAAGCACTTCTGTTTCTACGCTGAATGGACTGTTGATCGGAAAATGCTTAACTAGCTATATAGCTAATTCATCTACGCTTGGCAAGTGTATTTATAGATAAGGACTGATATGTCTTTATTGGAGTTCACACATACAATGGCAAAACTGATAATAGACGGGTCAGTAGTGAAGCAAGAGGAGTTTCCTTTACAGTTGTCTGTGTACATTACCACCAATTAATCAAGCTTCTATCTCATATCTGCTGTACTTAGATTATAGTCCAGATCTACAAAAAGGGTTTACGTTAATCAAATCCTGCAGTTTGATCCTGTTAGCGTTGTTAAGGGCCTCAATGAAGGCAATGGAGATTAGGAACTAGTTTCACTGAAAACTAACTCTGGTGTGTCTTTTAAGGGCTCACATCTCTGCTTTTTGACACATTAATGTCCTACAATACTTATAAAGTATATAATTGTGTGTGTTTAAGGAATGTGTTTAAGGAATGGTTATGTTTGGCTGTGCGTCTATACAGTATGTGTAGCCTATGATTATATAGTATTTCCTTTCCTCTAAGTGCATTGTCAAAACAGTAAAAAAAAAAAAAGATATTTAATTTGCAATGACATTTAATGAACCATTTCTACTAAAACTTCACACAATTTATTAATAGATTATTGATATGGTTGTAGAACATTCTCCTGTTGTTTGCACTGAAGCAACAATGTGTTTCAACAGCTATATAAAGAAACTTGAACTTGATCATAAAATAAACAGAAATTGTCATATTGAAAACTATTCTTGATCTTAAACCACAATTATTCAAGCTGGTCCTAAAAATTGCCAAGGAGCTGAGTATCAGAAACAAAGCTATAACTCATTACCTAATACAAACCTGACAGCTAACAACGGGGACATTTCCTTACCTTGTTCTTTGATGACCGGAGAGAATACTCTACAACAGGACACGAGAGGAAGATTACTATAATTGTAAAAATGTACAGTAAGCAGGAAAAGTAGACCAGGTTTGGGATGATTTAATGCACCTGCTTTTGTCGTCCTCGTTGCCCCAGGCTTGTATCCGGAGCATATTCTCTGCAGCTCACACTTTCCTGTTGCCTGTCGGAGGAACCACTTCAGCAGGTATCTCAGGAAGGATGTGTAGACGTACTGCCAGATATACCCCAGCATTTTCTAGAACATGGACAGAGAAAAGACGCTGAGAAAAAAAGCAACAATATGCAATATAACACATAACAGAACATTGGTCTGATAATCCACTTTGTTAACACTGATCAATGACGGATGGTGCTGAATCATGGTTCATTTGTAACCCTTCGATTTTCATTCTAGGGTGCAAGAAATGTCCTAGACAGCTATGTATCAGCAAACTACTGGTAGTTTAGTAAGAAATCAAAGTGTAAAAGTACTACGAAGTAATGAAAATTCAGCTTTATTGGCATGATCATATTTGTAGACAACATAGATGACAGCAGCATTTTAACATTAGATTATAAAATATATTGTTCGTCAGGCTTTAAATAACTTATTAAGGCTGTAACTAATGACTTGTTTCATTACTGATTAATACGCTGATTTATTTTGAGTAATCATTTGGTCTTTCAAAAAGCAGTAAGAAAAGAAAATACCCATCACAATCTCCTAGAGCCCAAGTTGAAGTCATCAGATGTCTGATTTTTTACCAAAAAACAGCCTAAAAACCCCAAAATATTATATTTAAATGATGAAAGACAAGTAAAGGCAACATATCCTCACATTTGCAGGCTAGAACCATTACATCCTGAGCATGTTTGCGTATTTAAAACGAGTTAAAAACACATTTTCTCTTACATGTAGTGGAGTAGCAGTACATAAAAAGTACACCTACTGTATTAAAGCACAGTGCTGGAGTAGAAGCACTTATTTACCACCACTGCCTAAAGATACCCAGCACAATGTAATGATGAATAACTGAATAATGAACACTATGGCTGAAACACTGGTCTGTCTGTGTTATCATCACAGTGGCCACTGTTAAACAAACCACACTGCGCTGTGAGGAAATGATCGTACATCACTATTAAAACACAAACACGTAACTCAACATATAATAGTATACGGGAATCATGTTAACGTGAAAGATAAACGAGGAGGAGGAGGAGGAGGATAGCGACCAGCCAAAACAATAGCTCTGTAGTGGGCTAGTGTCGAGGCTAATGCTAACTTCGGACGTGTCCATTCAGTTCACGTCTACAAGGATTTGGGAGACTTTAAGTGGGGCTTTTAGTGAGCAGTCTGCATGTAATGTCAGCAAACTGCGAGCCAGTTGTAACAAACGAAGTGAAGCTAACTAACCTAACAAGGAGTCACAGCTGGTTCAGACAACAGGTAGTCATGGCACTCCTCCCCAACTGTTAGCTGTACGTGAGCTGAGCTGGATTAGTTTGCGTCGCAAAGCACTGGTGCTCTTTACGCAATCCACGACGAGCAAGAGGCTGCTGTTATTCTTACCTTACTGTCCAAGAGACAACGGCTGCCGGACTAATAAACACACAAACTTAAGTCCTCAGCTGCGAGCTAACCCGCCGTGTGGTCGCTGAGGTTAGCAACGCTTTTCTCCTGGCAACAGTGAAGTGGCTCTGGTGCGTTCAGGCTCTCACCAGACAAACAGTTCAAATGTGAGCCATCACACTGCACCTTGGACATTTTAGAAGATTTTGGGATTTTATTTCATTTGATAATTACACGTAGGGTCTTGTGTATATAAAAAAGCAAATAATTCGCCATTTTTTGCTCAGAAATGGAAGACACACTTCGAGAGAGAAGTTGAATTTCAATCCAGTTCAAATTTGCTTTATTGGGCACGAATGTCACAAAACAAAACAGTATTTGCCATCACATTAAGAATCAGTGAAACAGAATAAACGGTGTAAATTAAAACAAAAGTTGTTAAAAACTTGCTATGTGTGTGTTTGTGTTTGCATTACATTGTTGTGTTTATGTGAATGTATTTCTGTGTGTGATTTTGTATGTGTGTGTGTGTGTGTATAAAAGCAAGAAATAGCCATTAAACAAACGAATAATAATAACAATAGTTTATTTTATTTTTTTTACAATATCTTAAACAAACAAGCAACAACAACCAAAGATCATTATTTATAAGAGATAAGATAATCTATTCTAATCTCAGTTTCCACTCGTTCTTCTAAAATGATGGCATGAGGACATTAATCCGGGATTTCTCCCAGTAAATAGGAAAGTCTCTGCATGTCTGTTTTTGATTCAAATTCGAGGTATATTTTGGTTATAGGAAGTATGTGTCTCTCTCGCCAATTTACATGACGCCTTTGAACGCAGCACACGCCGCCTGTAAATGAATATTGCTGCTGCAGCGCCACCTGCTGCCCACATCTCACTGCTGTCTGCACTGCATAGACAATGCTTCACAGCTGCAGAGCAATATAGATGATTTATTGTTCAGAGGTTGTGTCTTTTAAGCATTAGACTGTATTTAGGTGAAGTAATTAATAAAATAAAAAGTAAAATAATTACTTGCTGTGCAATACCATACCTAATACCATATGTGCAACTGCTGCTAC